TTTGATGAAACTTCTGGCTGGGTCACAATGACTGTGTCATTTAACCTTTTTGAGTACGTTTTTCAACTGTAAAAAAATGAATAATAAATTTACCTATTGGGTGATTGTAATGACTTTAAAAAGTGCCTATCCCATGCTTGTCATAGAATTAGTGCTCATAAATATTAGTTTCCTTTTATTCTTTCCATCCATTTTACATTGAAATACAGTACTTGGATATGGGGGTCAATAAGTAATTGTTATTGGATGAATGAAAGAAAGAAGGGCAAGGCCAGTTCTGGCAAACTGAAAATGGGTTTCTGATAGAATGAGAGAAACATCGACTTCATGCTCCCATGCCATGTCCATTCTTGCTTCAGAACCTCACGTATGTTCTCTGTACTGGAAATGCCATATCATGCTTTGACTGTTTACTGAACCACTTTAATACTCTGCTTAGATGTCACGTATTCTGAAAAATTGTTTTCTTACCAGTCCTTGTTAACTGTTTCTTTCTTTGTATTATTTCTACAGTTTACACGTATCTCATTGTATTGTAAATAGGTTAGCAACATCCATGTTGCTCCTCTATGGCTGTCACCTCCTGGAGGGTGGGGACGAGTGACTTCTATACCTCAGTAACTCCAGCTCCTAGCCCTGCCCCCTGTGTGACACGTGCCAGGCACTCACTACATGATTGAGATGAACTCATGGGTCAGGACTGAGACTTGCTTTCTGATCAGCAACTTCCATCTAAATATATAAAATGTGAGATGAGATAGAGGATAAGAGCCCTTGTGAACTGTGTAAACTTAGTGAAGTTACACAATCTCTCTCAGTTTCCTTATCTGGAAAATGGAAACAATCATAGTAGTGGCATCTAGAATTTCAAGGGTAAATAAATTAGTACATGGGAAATTTTTGAACCAAGACTGGCCCATAATGAGAAGTGCTCAGTAACTGTTAGCTACTATAGTATATTAGAGTATTTTAAGAACTCTGGCTTTAGAGACAGACACGTTGAGCTGGGTCTCTCTCTTCCTGGCTATGTGTCCGTGGTTGGGTTGACAGCTTGAGTCTATTTCTTCACTTCCAAAATGGAAATAACACTGGCATCAATCTCATGGGGTTAAAGAAGGAAGTTAATGAGACATTACCAGTATGTCCTTCTAATGAGTATTGTTGCTAGTATTGTTTTACGGTGCTTTAAATTTATCAAAGCAATTATAAGTAAATACATTTCTTGTGCTTCTCACAGTAATTCTGTGAGCTAGGACAGATGGTTTTCTGAGGGTTTCACAGGTGACATGACTGATGTACACATTGAGTGACTTGCCTAAGTTCCACAGTTACTTAGCAGCAGAGCCAGGGGCAGGATGCACATTTCCTATCTCCCAGTTCCACGTTCTTTCCATGACCACGCAAGTCATTCCAATGGAAAGCAGTTCCTGAGACTTGACTTAGAAGTACAGGGGGGAGTGTAAGATTAAGGTCTGACAGATGCCCAGTGACTCAGGCGGCATCTGGGGGAATATTTCCTGTTGGTGAGTCGGTGGATTGCAGTGTCTTTGGGGGTACCGTTGAAAACACACCCACTTCATCTACACATGGCCATAATGGAGGAGGACAAACTAGGAAGGGTTCCCTCAGTCTGGCTCTGGGCTATAGTGTCACCCCCAAGCTTTGCTATTAGGCCTACTAGGGCTCTCTTGAGACCCACAGGCAGTCAGCAAAGGGACTAAAAAAGCATGCATCCACAGTGGTGGAAGGAGGGTATGAGGGGAGCTTTAGGCAGTTGCCCTGCTGGTTTGAAGGAAGGACAATCGTGGTCCCCACTTTGTCAGTGATTGAGTGTGTTAGGGTCAACTTTCAGTATAACGGGCCCTAGAGTGTTGAAAAGAAATACATTGGAGATAGTTGACTGATTTCACTGGGTACCAGCTAAAAGAATGTTAGCTTCATCCTTGTTCCGCCTGACTGCTGTTGCACATGTCACATGTTGGTTGCATAATAAGTGTTGATAGGGTGGAGTTAATTATGAGATCAACGAGAGGTTTAAGGATGTTGTATTTCCTCCCCCCCCCAATACAGAGTAAAGACAGGGGCCAGACTTCAAGGATTTAAGAAGCAGATGGGTTCTTACTGCCCACCCACCTACATACACCCCGCTACTTTGATGCTCATTTGTGTCTTTCTTCTTTCTTCTTCGAATTCTCCTTCCTCCTCTGGACAAGAAGGCGTGGATGTCTGTCCAAGTCCAGCTTTTTAAATGTCAGGCACTGTTTCACTCAGATCATTTCAGTAAAGGCTTGGGAAGCTGTGGCTCCCTTTCTTCCTCGGTCACCTGCCATCCTCCAGTGTAACCTGATGGCTCCTACCAAGCTGCCGGCCATGCAGTATTTAGAACCAACAAACTTTTGAAAACATGGCTAGTCAGCTTTTAAGTAGCTTTTAGTGTCAGCTGGAACAGGGACCGAGTTGATGATGACCATCTCCAGCACTGGGGCAGAAGGAAATTGCAACTGAAAATACCTCGTTCAGTACCTGGCACAGGGCAGGTCAGTGCTGATACATGGTGGTGGGTGGGGATGGCTGCCTGAGGTCTGATCTCTAAGGCCTTCCCCTCCTGTTCCGGTCTAGGAGTCTCGGATGTTTTTTTTTCCTGGTGCATCCTTTATTCGAATAGCTGCTCTCTGCTCTTAATTCTGAGATTTTCAGCAAATTCCTCCCACTCCCTGGATCTCAGACTCTAAATCTATGTGCTAAGGGTGTGGGACTTGTTAGGGGATTTTTATGTGGAGTCCACAGATAGCCTGCAGGGGGGCCTGTGAATCCCTTAAAACCATGACCAATTTGTTCATGTATGTGTTGTGGGGAGCACTCTTGGCTCTGCTTAGTGGAGAACCATTGTCCGCCGGAACTCTCGGATGCCTCCAAGTGTTCTCTGACACCAGTTACTCAGTGTCCCCAAGTCTGATAGACATGCTCCTGGGGGTTCACAAAATGATTGTAGGTGGTGCATGGGTACGGCTGTTAGGTCACTCGTTACGTGATTATTTTAATGTTAAAAAAACCCACTAAAATGGACATTTCCTGATTATCTTTTCTTTGGAGGAGGCTAAGTCTTGCTTTTAAAAAAGGTGACTTAAATGAGTAATATCACAGGGGTAGGTTAATGCCTAAGTTTGAGCAACAGGGATCTCTCCCAACCCCCACCTGTTACCAAGAGAGGAGGAGTCTCAGAGGAGCAGGGAAAAGGCCATAAGGAAGTTGATGAGTAAACTCTGGACAATAACTCACTGGTCCTTCTAGCTATCCTGATATCACAGTTCTCTAGAAGTTGGAGAAGTTTCTGATCCTCTCTCAGGTCTCCTCCAAGAACACTGTCACAGTCAGGCCAGGAATCCTGCCCAAGGAGTTGCCATCTGGGGCCAGTTTATGGGCAACGCTTGAAGAGAGGCTCTCATTGCAGGGAAGAGGACAAACACTGAGAACAGGGTCACGTCTTCATCCACATGCTTCTTCTCAGGTTTGAGAAGTACTTTTCATATCTCAATGTTTCTGAGATTGGGCTGCATCTTACAAAATGGTGCTCCCTTAAATGCTAGATAGCTATTACCTTGCCAAGAAGCTGTTATTTAAATGGATAGTAGCTTAGAATGGAAATAGGGTTCTTAGACTATTTTTTCCCTCCTCCCAAGCAAATTACACTTGCAAGTTGGGACTTTACTAATAAACACAGTAATCCAAAGAGAATTTCTGTTTAAAAGAAAAATGCTCAAGTCATTTCCTGTTGACGAATTGGAAGTTACAGGGAATGAATCATGGTGACGGGTCTGGAGACACTAAGCCCAGGCCCCGCTTCCTGGGTACCTCCCACCTCCTCTCCGAGACTCCCCTTCACATTTATAAATCCTTTGAATTCATTGAGTCTTCTGCTCAGAGGTGTGCCACATAGAACCTTCTGGAACTTACAAATCTGAATTTTAAACGTCGGGGGAAGGATGAAGCAGACTGCACAGGTTCAAGTAGACTTCACGATATCGTGAAAGATTCCTGACTCCCCCATATTCTGTTTTTGTGGCAAGAGAGCTGTTTGGTGTATTCGTCCAGATGGTGAGCTTGGGGTGGGTTAGAAACACTTGATGAGACTTCACAAATCAGCATGTGTATTGGCCATTTCCATTCTAGCTGCAGTGGAGATTGATGGATTGTGACTTTTGGTTACCCAACCCAGGAAGAGAGGAGGGGGCTGCTAAGGAGACACGCCCCAAAGGAACAGACCAACCTTTCTCAGGGAGCCAGGGGCGGTGCCATTGCTTCACTTAGAATGCCAGATAATAAACAACCAGGACTCAGCCTTTAGAAGTCAATGGAATAGGGGCGCCTGGGTGGCTCAGTCATTAAGCGTCTGCCTTCGGCTCAGGTCATGATCCCAGGGTCCTGGGATCGAGCCCCGCGTCAGGCTCCCTACTCTGCGGGAAGCCTACTTCTCCCTCTCCTGCTTCTCCCTCTCCCACTCCCCCTGCTTGTGTTCCCTCTCTCGCTGTGTCTCTCTCTGTCAAATAAATAAATAAAATCTTTAAAAAAAAAAAAATTAAAAAAAGAAGTCAATGGAATAAGTAAGCTGGAAAAGGTTGAAGAGAAAAAGCCAACGAACGTCTAAGTGGAGGATTATATGGAGCCATTTAAAATGACAAAAAGCAAGAGTAACAAAGCAGCAGATGGAATTTGGCCCCACATGGCCTTGCCAAGCTAACTCTGAGAAGCACTGTGTAGAAAGTGTTCTCTTTATGTCCCCTGAAGCATTCATGGGGCTTCCTGGCCAAATTCTCAGGCTGTTTCTATGGCGCTTCCAGAAAAAAGAGTATAGCACCTCCCTTCTCATTCTGCATCCCCTTCGCTGCCTCGTGACATAAATCTCTGCTTCAAATGAGACTGTTAATAAAAAGTGTGGCAGGGGAGGGAGATGCTGACTGCTTGTGATTTTTTTCACAAAAAAAAAGAAAAAGGAGAAATTCTCTAAGAGTAAACGGTGTTTATTTTTTTGTTGATTTTTTTCAATCAAATGGAATTGCTTAATTAAAAAAAAACTTATCTCTTTTCTCTTTAAATACTACAGACAACCTCATTTTATCTCAGCAGACACCTAGAAACAAAACACTGGACCCACCAGAGAAAACCGGGCAAGAAAAGCATCAGAAATTCAAGTCAACTATGGAGAATTAGTGTTAGCTGGCAGCTCTCAATTCTAAACAGAAATGTCTCAGAACCTATTGGGTTTGACAAAAGTTTCTTAGAACTGGGGATCTGGGAAAGTTGGACTCCTTTTAATTCTATTCCAATTGTTTTCTGCATAGGGAAATTAATGTCAATGCATCAAATGAAGACCCAAAGAAACATTTAAAAACATGTCTGACTAGTATTCAGTATGTGAGATTATTAAGTAATAACTTGTCCTCCTAGTTAACCTTGTCCTGGAATATATATAGGTTATTTGTAGCCGCCACTGCTATAATATTTTCTGAAGGGTGCCAAGCCGTATGCAAGATCTTTTTGCTAAAGTCCAGACTGTCGACACTGATCTCGTCTTTTCTCCGCTTGCCCCCTACGCACACTTTCCGCGGTTTTAGGATAGCCCGGGGTTTGCTGTTTTCCCTTGAGGCCTCCAGGGTGACGTCACGCTTGGTGTTTCTGTCGAACATCCTGAAGAAGTTGTTGTAGGAGCCTGTCATGATGACGCTGCAAGGTAGAGAGGAAATAGGGAGTCACTGAGGACTCTGGAGAAAGGCAGGAGCGTATCCCCATTGTGTCTTTCTGGAGCCAATGACAGCACATCGTGGCCAGCTTATGGCACCATCGGTTTCACCAAAAACCAAAAACCCAGACTCGACAGTGTGACCATGGTCTCGGTTTTGAAGGCTGGTTGGGAAATGAAGGATCATGATAATCCTCCTTGTTACTTACTTCTGTGGATAGATCCCTTTTGGTTCTTTGGCTCAGGGAGTGAGTCCTGCGGTTTTAATGATCCCAGCCTTACGTCCCTTAGGATTGCGAGGCTGGAGAGAGGTCAGGGCAGGAGGAACACTTTTGAGAACACTGGTTATGCGCACGGAAAGTGTGGTTGCAGGAGTGGGCTTGGGCCGGACGTCTAAGGCTTTCTGCAGCCAGCACAGTGGGAGAAACGCTGATAGATGAGCACACTGAGCCTGGTGTGTCCTCCCCCTGCCAAGAACCAGCTCTCAATTCAGCCTTGCCAGCAAACTTACCTAAAAAACAGATGTCCTCGTGGTCTCCCTCAGGAAGAGAGTAAACAAATTCAAATTTTAAAAGAACTTGGGAGAGGAAAGACTTGCTAGTGGATTGACCGATGGCATCCACCTTTTTGTAAGGGCTCTCCACCCTCAGGCAGATTTACGACTGACTGAGGGCAGTGACTGCCAAGCCTTCCAGAAGCAAGGGACTGACTCTTTACAGGTGACAGTTTGCACACACGGACAGGCTGGGGTCGGGGGGGGGAACCATGCTGCTTCAGTAACATCCCACGGGGGCTGCTGCTGGAGCACGGGGGCTTGGCCTCGTTGGTGGGTGAAGCCCTGACCAACTGAGGTGAGGATGGGAGAGGACAGCACCTCCTCTCCGTTCATGTGGCGTGAGTGTGCAGACAGGTGTGGGGAAAACTGAGAGCATGGGGCCGCAGCCAGGGGGACAGGGCTGTGGGGTCAGCTGTGCCAGGCAAATCAGTCACGGGCTTGCTTGTGTAACTCTGGCCCAGGAAACAGACGTGGTGAACGTGTTTGTAGTGGAAGAAGCTGTTGCTACTTTATCAGGTAGGGTGCTGAGCGCTCAACTCCCCCGCAATCTCACCTGGACTTCCGTTATCCCAGATAGGGGCTTTACACCTGAGGAAAAGTGAGGAACTCGCTCACTGTGACAAAATGGCCAAGTCAGGCCTCCAACCCCCATGTGCCCGACCCCAGGGCCTAGCACTCCGCCACTGGCCTCAATGCTTCCCATGAACCAACAAGGCTTCCTCCACCATGAGTCAGCTTGGTTTTAAACTGAGAAAGCCCTTGTGTTTTGGTTTTTGTTGGTTGGTTTGAAAAAAAAGAAAAACTCTCAACCTTACCCGAACTGAGAATTTTCTTGGTTATGGAAAGAAGTAGTGAAGTTATGAAAAGAATGTCAATCTTAGGATTCAAACTCAAACCTTCCTACTCTTGTCTCTACTACGTACTAGCTCATGAGCTGGGGCAGGTCGCTTTATCTTGCTGAGCCTCAGTTTACTCAGCTATAAAATGGGGATGATGACAACAACCTTGTCATCTTGTGGTCAGGATTCTATAACAGGATGTGGGCGAAGGTGACTAATACGTACTTTGTGAGTCTAGGTTAAGGTAAGTTAGTAGGACAATAACAACAAATAGAATTTATTAATATAAACTACAAATAAAAATTAGAAACACAGGTTCGGGGCCCGCTCCTTTCCCCCTTAGGAGCTTTGGTTCGTACATCACAGCTGCTCTGTCGTCTCTTCCCACCCACAGCAATGGGGTGCTGTGACTTGGGGCCTCTGTCATGTGGAGATTTTTTCCGGGTCTCCTAATGTAGAAGGCACATTTTGGTTCATTGGCAAAGAAAGCCAAAGAATGGCCAGAAACCGCTTGTTTTTACTAAAAGTTCCAATCCCTGAATGCCTTGCCCTGACAAAAGGTAGTGCTTGCAAGCACTATTGTTGGTGCTGTGTTCCTCAAAACACTAAATCAGTCCCTGGTAGCCTGCCTTTCGTTCTGGAAGGTGGGGAATCATCTGTATTTGTCAAACTAAAAATGAACTATTAGAAGGTAATATGAAGTACTGTTGAAATAAAAGGCCTTAAAACAATAATAAATCACTTTGAGGGAATATGATAAATGAGGCCAACTAGAATTCAGCTAATGAACTACCGGGGCCTTTGGACAGGTCTACACTAGAAGTGTCTAGGGATAATTTTCGATCTAGAAAGCACACTTTGCAATAATTATTTCGGCCATGGTGACCTAGCTCTGGGGGCGTCTGGTGTGTAAGACATGGGATTTTCTCGTTGATGTCTCATGGTCACCTGTGCCAGTCCTGAAAGAGGATTCAAGGGTCTCACTCCATCTCTCCCTTATATCCAGGTCTGACCTCAAGGGAAATCCAGGGACCTACACAGTGGATTCCTGCCAGGCCCTGGGGCCTGATTCTGACCTCTCTTTGGCCACGCCCTGCTTAGGATAAATTGCCCAGGGCCCCGGCAAATACAGGGCTCACCTCTGGAAGATTCCCTAGCCACGGAGCCTCTCTTACCTGTCTGACCCATTCCACACACATTCAAATTTATCAAAAATGCAGTCGTTTTCGTAGAGGGAGCACAGCTTGCTGCGGAGGTAGTCATGCACCTGTTGGGGAAATACATCAAGAGGGTCAGTTACTATTTTAAAAATGCTCGTTTCTGTGAAGACCTCCTCTGGTGATGTGAGCTGTTAATTCTTCTAGTATACATGTGCCTTGAATTGGATGGCCTGGGTCTGAATCCAGGCTGGGCTCTTTGCAGCCATGGGTTGGGGAGCTGCTTATGTGGCGAGTGTGGATTAAGCAAGCTTGCTTAGGGAGCCGGTGGCCGGCAGAAGGGCCCAGTAGGTGGTATAGAGTCCCATTTTCTAAACTGACTTGCAAATACACATTAGAGGACACTATTCATTTGGTCTTTAACTCAACAAATGTTTATGGCCTGCCAGCTCTGTGCTTGGGAGAGGCAGTGAACAAAATACCCCTGGTGTGCTTTCATCCTAGCATGGGGGCAGATGAGCGTTCACGTGGGCCTTTTATGCTGAGCGAAGTGAGGAGACGTCACAGAAGGGACCACTGAGCTGTGTCATGATTGATAATGTGAGGCAGCAGAGGCAGGGAGGCCACTGAGAGCCTGGTGGCAGATGACGGTGTGGAGCAGGGCGGGAGCAGCGGGAGCAAGCAGTCAGCTTCTCAGCATGTTTGCAGGAACAACTGATAGGATTCGTGGATGGTGCAACTGTGAAGCATGGAAAGAAGAATGAGAGTCAAGATGGCTCCTGGATCTTTCTCTTGAGCAAGCGGAAGGATGGACTTGCCACGTTCATTTTTGGGTATGATAATTTGGAAAGGCCTGTGCAGGTGAAGCTGTTGACGAGACTCTGATGTAAAGGATGCAGTCCTGGAGCATGGGTAATTCTCTCCTGTTTCTATTTTTCAGTGAAATAAGAAGGAAAGTTCGCACCTGAGAGTGAGGAAGGGCAGGGGATGCTGGGGCCCCATGAAGTTGTTGGATGGGAACTTTATGGGAGACCAGTCAGCATGGTTGGGTCATTCACCCTATGTTCCCTGAGATGTTTTGGGGGATTGGAAAGCTCTCCGAGTCATGTGGACAGTGCAAGTATTTCTAACTCGGCAAACGACTGTTACCAAACAGTCCTGGGCCTTGTCAGGGTACCCGCCTCATTGCTTTGGTGACAAGAGAATCCATCTGCGGCAGGGCTTCTGGCATTGTTAGATGGAGAAGGGGACGCGAGGGTGAGGTTTACGTCTCACGCTTAAGATCTATGTTATAAATTAACTCCTTGTCGTTCCCTTCCTCTCCTGCCGCCTTTTGGGCCTATTCCAAGTGGCACAAGTCTGATGTAGAAGGCCATTTCTTTTTGTAGGGCTGCAGATCTCTAGTGATTGTTAAGAGTCTTTGAGCAAAGAAGGAGGAGAGAGTCTGTGGGCAAAAAAAGGACTGATTCTTGATCTTGACCATTGTTTGGCAAACCTTTTCTTTTTTTTTTTTTTTTAAAGATTTTATTTATTTATTTGACAGAGACATAGCGAGAGCAGGAACACAAGCAGGGGGAGTGGGAGAGGGAGAAGCAGG